TCTAACTACATTAAGAATCACATTAATAGAGACACACAGCTCTTCTTACAATCAACAAACTGATGGACAGCAGTGGCACTGATAGAAGAGGGCCTAAAGAGGGCAAGATGAGTCAGGATGGGAAATGGTACATCCTGGCATATCAGGAACATGGAGGCATTTTGGTTTGTGGTATAACTAGTGCAAACTGTAAGCAAACTGTTAAATACCAATATTTCCATTTACACTGTCCCAGGCATGGCACTGAGCAGAAACAATAATCCTCTAAGGCTGTCTCACAAATACAGAAGTTACAATAATACATGACCAAGGTATATACAAGTTTTTTAGCAGCTTATAAAACATTGCATTTCTCAACTCTCCCCAGACAACAAGCAACTGCACAACACAATCACAGTTTAACATACTGAAAAAAGGGGTTGCATCTACATATACAATGACTCAATCCTTAAAGACAATGTCAAACAGATGTGTTGAGGGCACACAGAGAACATGACTGCACAGTGCAAAGCTACATCAGCACACAATGGAGCTAACAAGGGAAAGCTTAAGCAACAATAAAAGTTACTCCTTTGCAGTCAAGCAGAAACTGACACTGGGTGTGGGTGTGTGTACAGTTTGTTTTTGGACTGGAGCGTTTCTTCAAGAAACCATACTGACATGACAGTTTAACTTAGAAGCCTGTCTCATTGCTCTGTGTGCACACACACACACACACACACACAAACAAACATAGTATATAGCCTGGAATGATAACTGGTACATTTTTTCCCACAGTGTAGTTGTACTGTACTGTACACATACTGGCATGGTAAAGAAAGATTTTCTGTGGTGTTTGGTGTACAATCCAGTTTACTTCAGATACTGAACTGTGCTGGGAAGGTGCCCATTGGCACCCATATACAGTATTTGGCACAGCTACCTTTAATGTCACAACTACGCTGATGATATACAAGCTGCACACACTACTGTTTAGTATTCCAGTGGAAACACCACAGGGCACTGACACTGTACCATAGCAATTCCAGTGTGGGTACAGCACAGTACTGTGTCCAGCTTACTGGTCTCACTATGCATACTGCACAACACTTGCTGATAGTAAAAAGCCTGCAGCAAGCTCAGTGTAGCGCACTGCCATTGTGGGAGCTGGTGTTGGGGAAGGCGGGACGGGGTTTATTCCGGGACAAGGCGCCAGACTGGTCGGCTGTGGGAAGGCTGAGGGTGCTGGCGCTCTTCAGCCTGTTCTTCAGACCCCAGCTGAGGAAGGATGACTTCTTGGATACTTTGCGGGTTGCAGGATTCTTGATGTTGTCATCATATCCCAGACAAATCATGGAGTAGGTCTTGGGCAGATTTCCGGAGAAGGTGGCGCTCTTAGTAGGCTGGAGAGAGTGAGATTGACAGCAGCATTTAGTGAAGAGGGACATCAGTTTAATTAGTCACTCTCTGCTATGGACGCCTTATAGCTTCAATCAGTATGTTAGCACTGAAGTCAATTTAAAAAATACCCAGAATCATAAAAAGAGTATTGTGAATCGTACCTGATATGAAATGTGCAGAGGCTAAACAAAATAACAGAAATAATACGCAGCATAATGTAAGGTATGTTTACATTTACGCGAAAAAAAAAACAAACACTTTTGCACATGCCTCCTCATTTTGTATGTGGTGATGTGCAACAGTGCTGCATGGATGTCATCGAGGGCTGAGCGGAGAGAGGGTCCAAATTTGTTGAGCTTTGACCCCAGCTGCGCTGACTTTTATAGGCGCACTGGTGGCCGCTGCTTGAGCATGCTTGTTTTTCTGAATTTCCCAATCTACACTGAGATTTTACCCTCACATCCAGACCAGACAAAGACAGACAGAGTTTGGTACCAAAACCCAGTGCCAATATGGCACCAGTCCCTATACAATCGGTATCTACTGGACCAAATCACAATGCAGATTTCAGTGCCTCATTTAGGTCCTACTTAAATGCCTGCTGATTGAAATATCTGCCCTCTGGTGCTGTGAAACAAACAATACAGCCAAAAGAAGCAATACTGCGCCTCATGTGCCAACGCTATCGTTACATTTAGGCTGCGTTCCATTTACCTGGGAGCTCAGAAGTCAGAGCTAGGAAGCATCTGCACGTTAATTTAAACATAACATGCAGGTTGTGAACACCAAATTCTGGTTTATAACTTTACTGCCAGGCTGTAGACAAACATTGCCTTGCAAAAGTATTCATACCCCTTGAATTTTTCCACATTTTGTCACATTACAACCACAAACTTAAATGTATTTTATTGGGATTTTATGTGATAGACCAACACAAAGTATCACATAATTGTGAAGTGGAAGGAAAATGATACGTGGTGTTCAAGAATTTTTACAAATAAAAATCTGAAAAGTGTGGCGTGCATATGTATTCAGCCCCCTTTACTCTCATATCCCTAAATAAAATCCAGTGCAACCAACTGCCTTCAGAAGTCACCTAATTAGTAAATAGAGTCCACCTGTGTGTAATTCACTCTCAGTATAAAT